GTCATTAATGGTCCCTCCCACTAAAAAATGAGTCATGTTTATAAAAAAAGTCCCAAAAATAACAATTATACTTTGTAGTTTTTAAGTTAAAGTCATTTCCAAAGGCAAGAACTTGATCCGTATCAATATCTCTACTAGAACTGTGTCATGATTCTGCATCATAGAATAATATATGTCATCACATAATCAATGATTTCTATTAAACCCATTCCCAGTATGGATTGTTACAAACATCTAGGAAGTTAAAAAAGTGAATCATAACACAGATATTTCTCATAAGTTGCAATATACACTGCACTTTGTATAGAGTTTTCCTTACAAGATGGATGTAAGACTCCAAAAATTAAGGCAGATCAAACCAGCAGTGAAATACAGCCAAAGTATCCATGAACTTTTGTAGATGTGATATCAAACAACACTTATATAGATTGTTAGATCAATTGGTGCAATGCAAACCATGTAGATAAATGAAGTATCTCTGCGGATATTGTAAATGTAGAAATACTATATTATCTTACTCTCTCAAAAGTGGAGTCAATAGTGGCAAAGAATCACAATAGGAATGATAATACCTTTATTGCATGAAAAAGACTTTTAGAAAGGGAAGTTAGAGATTTAATCAAATATATAATTTGATTTCTAAATAGGAAAAATAATGAATACTAGGGAATTGCATGCTAGATCAGAAAAGTATGTACAAACACACAAGAATCACCCATACAGCAATACTGATTCTTCGCACATGTTTAAAATCAAATCAGCTCCTAAGAGTCAAAGAATGAATTCACTTAAGTTGACATGGGGAATAACCATCACAAGAAACAAAATACTAAGATCAAAATATCATGCAGGGGAACAGGTGATGATGTATGAAGGCAGATAAACTAGACAGTCAAAGAGTACCTCTTTAAGATCAACCCATTCCCATGTTTCATTTGCAGTATTGAAATCATAGACCAAAGCATGGCGTCCCTAAAAATAAGGAATTAAATACGGTGACAAAAAAATATGGTTCTGAACTTTTGTGCGTTACTAGAATCTATATAAGGCAAAAGAGCGAAGCCAACTTTAGAGATGACAACAAACCCACAGACTGACAAGCCATTTAAATACATAGGGAAAGGGATATAGTTGGTAAGACAAACCGCAGTATATGCAAAATGGGAACATGTTGTTAACCCTCACAACTAAAGATGGTTACCAATTATTATTACTTATATTAGATACGGAGTACAACTTATGGAAGATCATCAACTACATAATGCCCCAAAAGCACCATCAACAACTAAATTCCAACTAGTTGGATCAATGAATAAATTTTAATAGTTTAAAATCAGCTCATTTCCAAGTTTTACTTGGTGTATTACCATAATTAACTCCTTAGAACCTATTTTCACCTCCACAAAGAAGAAGAAAACTGCAAACAAGATACTCAATATACAATGAAACTTTCCAGGGACTTGGTAATATTACCTTGTAAAAATATTTTTCAAATATGTTGCATACTGCATTCAGAAATTTACTTCAAATCAATTGGGGTTATGATAATTAAAACTTACATCTACGGGGTTGTAGTCGCGTATGACAGCCTCATAGAAATTGGTGTCTTCTGGCCATCTAGTCATAATTCTTCTCCCAAAAAATAAGTCTCGGGATCTTGTAGTGTTAGAAGAATCACGACCAGCAACCTGATACACCACTGATTTTGCTGAGCTTTTTGGCATGATGATTATTGTATTTCATCTGGTGAGATCTTAATATTATGCAAATATCGTAATACATATCTGCCAACCATGGTTTTGAAAGGCGAAAATGAGCCTCGAGGCGGGATGGGGCATAAGCCTCAGTCCAGTTTGAAAAAAATAAAGCTAAAATAAGCACTCCAAGGTAAAACAAAATGTATAATCCATAATTATGTCAAAAAAGTGAAAATCATACATGGTTTTCATTGAAAACAGAAAGGAAGCAAAATAGATTTGCAATAAGATAATCATGATTCATGATAAACGTTTTAAGATGGAAATTTTGTTTGAAGGCAATAAGATAATCATGATGCATAAATATAAAGGCTTCAATTCTTGGATTTTCAAAAAGTAATACTAATTTAATTACGAAGTATTAAAACACCCAAAAAAGAGAATTATGACATTCTCATTAGCAGTAAGGCTTACGCCTCACTTTCACCTCACGCCTCGACCGCCTTGCCAGGTTAAGGCGTCACCTCACATAGGAATACTGAGGCTTACACCTCTGATGCTTAACACTCTCGCCTCACCGCCTAGAGGCGGTTCTCCTTTTTCACCTTTTAAAACCATGCTGCCAACCATACGGCTGACTACACAGCCATGAAAGCTTATTAAGAATGCACAACCACGCTAACAACATACAAGTTTATGATTCAGGCCTCCAGGTACGGCTGGTGGCACCAATTCTTCTACTTGAGTTAATGGGCGAGTTGGCTGAACACCAAAAGGTAGATGCATTGGTTGAGAGGTTTTCTGCCTTTTTCGGGATCCTGAAAGTGTATTAGTGGGAAGTTGTTCGACAACATGTTGGTTTCCACGAACCTTTCTCCACTCCCTAATCTTCTGTATAAGGTCATCCGCATTGACTTTTGCCAGTAGATCCCTGTGTTCATCGTCTGATACTCTCAGCTCCTTCCTGAGTTCTGTTATTAAACCTTCCTTCTCCTGAGTAATTGAATAGAATAAGACAATTTAACTACTAAAACGTTTGGAGCAATATGATTGGAAAGACACATACCCATGTTAGGGCATCTGACTGCGCTTTAAAAGCTCGTAGCACTGCACCATATGCTTCTTGTTCAAGGGTATGGATTTGTGCTTCCATATTGTTATACATGCTTTGGTATATAGATGAAGTTAGATTTGACCATCCATTTAGAGAAACAATGCTTCTTGTGGGAGCTCTATCATATTGTGATCGAGGCAGATCATCATATGTACCTGCACTTACAACACTAGAGAAGATTCACACATTTATGACACACTGTGCCAGGGAAAACAATATAATGTGTGTTCAAGAAAAATATACTCCCTCCGTCCCTAAATATTCACAACATTTGCTTTTTCAGCAGTGTCGGGAACTTTTGTTTATTTCAACATTTTCATTGATTATTTGATAAAATAAAATATTCTTGACACCTCTTATTTTGAAGAACTTTTCATGTAGTTTTTTATATGTATATTTTATTTTTTATTTCTTTATCAATATATAAATAAAATGAATTGAAAAAACTTGATATTTTGCCTCGGGAATACAAATGTGACAAATAATTTGGGACGGAGGGAGTATGAAACACCTAGACTTTTATACATGGCCCCCAATCCCCATAATCCGCTAGGCAAAGTACTCCCTCCGTCCCAAATTATTTGCAACGTTTGCTTTTTCGGTAGTCGCGGGAACTTTTGTTTATTTCTATGTTTTCATTGGTTATTTGATAAAATAAAATATTCTTGACACCTCTTATTTTGAAGAACTTTTCATGTAGTTTTTTGATATGTAAATTTTATTTTTTATTTCTATACTAATATGTAAATAAAATGAATTGAAAAAACTTGATATTTTACCTCGGGAATATAAGTGTGACAAATATTTAGGGACGGAGGGAGTATAAAGTACAGAACATAGTATTATTGAAGAAGCCAGCATAGACATTTATAAGAAAACATTTGAGCTACCCACAAAATAAATATCACAGGCTTCACAGCACATTAGCATACTCAATTTCTTTTCTTTCCATAAAAAACCCATGTTTGAATAGTTCCACGCACCCAGAAGTAAATTTATTAGACATTAAACCTAGATTTATTCGATCACCACAACTCAAATAAAATGTTCTTTGCATAGAAAATTAAAAGTGTAAACATCTGCAGAAATTTATGTATTAATCATACGAAGCATTATTCAAAACCCTAAACTTAAGGACAAGCATAATCCAGCCCTCCCCCAAAAATTCATAGCAACAGCAGAGAATATCATTACAAAGTAAACGAACAACTGGCAGAATGCATAAGAATCAAAACCCCTGTCCGTGAAAAAGGCAATTCCCAAAGTCAAACGCAATATAGAAAGAAAAGCGGTAGTAAACAACAAACACCTAAACCTAGAAAAATGCATCGACATGAACCATTTTGGGATAATGGAGTCTATTTCACCGGTTTTCCCGTAAAAGAAAAATAAATTACACAATAATGAAGAAAAGAAAGGGAGAAGAGAAACTCACCGCTGCTCTAGATTAGTTCATAATCCATATACCAAACCAGATCTCATGTTCAGCTTTTCAGTCTGATTTAGATTCCAATTCGAACTGCGACACAACAAAGCTGAGGAATTCGAAGAACAGTCCTGAATAACAGAGCCAGAAGATGAACAAAAAAGCGAAATGTAAGTGTAAAACCAGAGAAGGATGGGGAGGGAAATCGAGATAGCGTGAGGGGGAGAGGACCAGTATTTATGAGTTACTAGTATTTTATTTTAACCAGTGTCATGAACGGGTGGTACGAAATTATTTTTTATTGTACAATATCAAATATTTAAATAACTTGATTTTTTTTATGTTACTAGTATCACACCCGTGCATTGCACAGCTCAATTTATATTATTAAATTATATTCGGGTCATTATTGAAGAATAGAAATTAATACTCCCTCCGTCCTGGAGTATTCGTCCACTTTTGACTTTTGGAGCTGTTCATCTAAGCACTTTGACTCATCAAATTCTCTCAATGTGTAAGCCTAAATATAGTCATGTGTGATCTTGTTTGATTTGTCTTAACATATAGATTATTAATATATAATTTTTATAATTTTTTAATATACAAATAGAAGATAAAATGGATTAAAGAAATGCATTGGAGGGTGTGTAAAAATGAAAGTAGACAAATACTCTGGGACGGAGGTAGTATATAATAGAATATAAAGTTCAGTAAAGGATTGAATATGAAAATTTTATCTCTATCACAGTGGAATATGTAATACTAATATTGATGAGTGTTTTTATAATAAAATATATATTTCATCCATTGATTTATTTTCATTTATACTAAAATATACTATGTTGAATATTTACTTCTTGCCATTTTTAGATGATATTTTTATACTAATAATTAATTTCTACTCGTTGATTTATTTCCATTTATATAAAAATTAATTACGTTGAATATTTATTTCTGAATATTTTCCAAAAATAAACCATATTGCAAGGCTATTTACTAAACTATTTATAAAAATATATACTAAAGAAAAGACGCCTCAAAGTGAGATAAGGATGTCATTTTTGAAGAAAAAAAATAGTGGAGGTAAGAGTTTGAGAAAAAAGCCAATAAGCACCTACACAACGAAACACCCCACATAATAAGCTCATTATATAATATTATTCATTTCCCTTCTAGAATCCTTGACCGTGACTAATAAAAATATTTATATTTATTTATTATTTAAAATTCATATATAACATATTTTATTATAATAAATCTAGATCATCCTTAGAAACTTTGACCGGGATTAATAAAAGTATTTATATTTATTTAATTATAAGAGGCTATATACAACAAATTTTCTTAAAATAAATCTAGACAACAGCTAAAACCTTTTATCATTAAAAATAAAAAATATTTATAATTATTTATTTATTTATTAAAGTCCACATGTAACAATTTTTTCCTAAACTAAATTTAGACCACCCGCTGCAATTAAATGATGATGGTGTTAATCTCAATATATAATAAGCTCTTTATATTAGAAAAAATCCATATATAACAAATTTTCCTAAGATAAGTATAGACCTCTCCATATACAATAAAAAGCATATCTATGATGAAAAAAATACAAACAATATTATGCATTTCCCTCCTAGAACCTTTGATTGTGATTGATAAAAATATTTATATTTAATAATTTATTTATTAAAATTCATATATAACAACTTTTCCTAAAATAAATCTAACCATCCCTAGAAACTTTGACCTTGACTAATAAAAATATTTATATTTATTTATTAAATCCCATATATAATAAACTTTCCTAAAATATATCTAGATGAACGCCTATAAAATTTGACCGCGATTAATAATAATATTTATATTTTTTTATTAATTAAATTATAAAGTCCACATATAACAAATTTTTCTAAAATAAGTCTAGACCTCTCCATATATAATAAAAAGTTTTAACACATCTTTATTAAAGTCCGTATATAAAATTGTTTCCTAAAATAAATCTAGACCAACCCCTAGAAACTTTGAAAATGATTAATATATCGAAAGTATTTACATTTATTTATTAAAGCCCATATATAAAAAAAATTCCAAAAATAAATCTAGATCGCCCGTAGAAATTTGACAGTGATTAATAATAAAACATTATTATTTATGTTTATATTTATTTATTAAATTCCGTATAAAACATTATATTCTTCCCTAAAATATATCTAAACCTCTCCAATATAATAAAAAGTCAACACATCCATGGGCGGGAAAACTGGTCAAAGAATTCACCTCTTTTTAAATAAAGTATAGATATACCATTTATATATATATATATATATATATATATATATATATATATATATATATATAGATATATAAAATCTAGGTTTATTAAATTATTACAAATATATAATTCTTCTCACCCCTTAAATCAAAAAATATATGAAAAAAATATTGGTGATTTTATTATTCTTCTCCCCCGCATTTAATTAACAAACTTAGATTTTCGATCCTGTAATTTTAATACTAAAAAAATCATGATTCTTCTCCAACAAATTAATTTACATTAACAAAAATATATGATTTAATTTCTATGATGCATTAATGTGATTCTTCCTCTCCTTGGCTCTTTGCACTGATTAAAAATTGACACTTTTTTCTTGTATTATTAAAAATATGAAAATATAAATTAACAATCATATGATAAGAGATATAAATTTTACAATACATTAAAAATATAATGATTATTCTCCCTCGTATTATATAATCAAAATTTGAGAATTGGAAATGTAATTTGATAAAAGATGAAGTAATTGCAAATCTAAAACTAAGCTATTGAATACAAAATAAATATTTTATGTCAACAACTTAAAAGTCTTTATTACGTATAAAGATCATTATCAAAATAATTTTTTTAAAAGATGACTTAAACAAATATTATATTTCACGGACCAAAAACAAAACTCACCTATTTTTAAGAGACTAAAAATATATTAACCCTTAAAAATATCATAATAAATGATAATAAAATATAATATTTGTAAATTAAATCATAAATCATTTAAGAACTATTAACCATAATTTTTTTAGTAATCATATGAAACCATGAAACCACAATTTATTTTCTAATCTTCTCATGTTTTATAAAGTTTTATTGTAATTTTAAAATAAGTTTTTTTGTTTATTAACTTACATGAATATTTTAATAAATACAATCAAACTGACGGTTTCGATCTAAATATATCATAAAAATATGAAATGTATTTAGAAGTAAAGAAATATGTTATTAATTACTTAGGTCCAATTTGGTGAATTTTGGAGATCTTATAAGATGTGTGTTATGAAAACTCAGAGAAATGATATGGATTTTGTAATCTGAAATGATGTTATTTGGAGAGATTTAAATTCAAGATTTAATTAGTGATAAGCAAGGGTGACTGGCAACGGAAGTGGTTGGCAGTGACAATTGTAGCGAGTGGCAAAGAATGATCAACAGTTGAAAGAGATATCAAACCCCCATATTGATATCTTCCTAATTCGAGAGATACTGAGACCATCCATTTTAAAAATTTATATATCTGTAGATATTAAATTTGATAACCCTTTTGGCTTCACCAAACACCAGAAAAGGATTAGGATATTTAGAGATATCAAAACTTTTTTTTGCTCACCAAACACACCTTTAGAAATTTTGTAATAATTGAATAGAAAAATATGCATAATTAGGAAATAATTTATTATAAAAACGAATATCTCTATTCTCTTCTATAATTAATTGTACCGAATGACTTCATACCATAGTATTAATTTTTTACTTTCTATAATATATTTTACGTGTCAGAAATGTCTCGTAAACAACATCAAATCTCAGCTTCTAAGAGATTAAAATATCAATTTTATAAATAAAGGATCAATTATAAACATATTTGATCCTTTTCTATAAGAATACTTTTAAACGAAAATATATCATTATCAAAATTTTGTTTATTGTGTATGCACTTAGTTAAAATTTTGATTCATAAAAAATGCTAGTCTAGAAATGGTAAGTGATAATACCAAATTTATATTTTCACTAATTTTTTGCTACATCATAATAAGTTTTACTTGTATCATATAATTATATTTTATATAACTGTTTTCCTTTAATAATTTTATTTCAGATAATACTATATTTATCTTTCACAAATTTGATTTTATAGCATAATTAATTTTATCACAGCATAACAAATAAATAAATGAATTGCTTTTTAAAAATAAAAATATTAATACTCAACTAATGTCACAAAGTAATGAATTCATTATTTGTCCTAAATCTTTTTATGTAATATTTTTCCAAAATTTGAAATCATATTAAAATTCTATTTTAAAATTAAAAGAAAGGTCAATTCATCATTAATAAAAATTGCCACATAAGCAACCAATAAAAGGTTTGTCATCTCACCTTAATATAGCCCACTGCATATAAGCTTGACACTTGGCGACTTTCTGGCAAAAGGAGTCTCAAATATTATATTAAATGATGACAAGACGAACAAACTATTAAGAAAAATGCTATGAGTACACCGTTGTACCCCATTTGTGCCCCACCCCCTCCACAACCATAAAAAAAGACAAGAAACTAAAAACAATTAAATAGATAAAAATAAAATAAAATTGAATGGTGGAGAAAGGGGTGGGGGACAAATGGGGTACATCTTTGGTGTACCCCTAGCATTGCTCAACTATTAATTCTACCTTAAATTACCTGCTTCATATTAGTTATTCTTTAAAATGAAATTACTCTCTTATCCTTCTTCCTCAAGATATTATTGCTAGTTTACGTAGAAATCACTCTAAATAGTATTAAAATATAAAGAAAAGTACCAAAATAGGACTTTTATATTTCTTTTCCTGAAATAAGAATTCTCAGTGTAGTAATGTAGTTGTAACGTAGCATTGTACATGTGCACATTACTATACTTTTTGGTAATGTACATGATCATGTTCGGTAATGTAAATGCATTTTAGTCCTATTTCGAAAATAAAAACATGGAAGTCATATTTTGGTATATTTTCAATATTTTAGTCCTACTTTGGTCTTTCTCCCTAGGTTACGTTATGAGACCTTGCGATAGCAGAGTGTTTCTACCCAGCAAAAATATTCTTTATTCTCGTTCCGCAGCGCGCCATTTTTCATCGTTTTCTAATCCAAACGTTTCTTGCATACCTAGTGCGCGTAGAGCTTACTATGTCGGCTCTCAATGTTCACCGTTGTTCGTCGTTTCTTCGTCGTGTTAGACAAACCTGCAACTCTAGAGGAGGGTGAATAGAGTTGTTTTCATGAATGTGCATTTTTCGTGTGTGTGAAATAAGAAATTGCATGAATAAATTTAAAGAGTAAGGGAAAAAAGAACACCGAGATTTATACTGGTTCACCACCTTGTCCTCCGAGAGACTCTCTCAAAAGTCCTACTAATCTTCAAGCTTCAACGGGTAGTTGAAAAACCGATACAACTCAAGAGCTTGAATCACACAAGCCTCAACTTCTTACAACAAGACTTGAGTCACACAAGTCTTAGCAGCAACAACTCAAACAAGATGAGTTTTTACAACACAAGAAATGAAGCTCACAAATGAGCAAGTAGTGTTTAAAGTGTAAGCTCTATGAATGAAAATATCTTTGCACTCAAGAAAAATATTTTTCTAGCTCTCAAAATAGTATTTTGATTATCAAGA